TAATTTGTACTTATAAATGTTAGATTTGTTTTTAAATTCGGATTAACATTGTTATATGTTGGTAAAACACTAACAGGAAAATCACTTTTGAACTTCCAATGTACCAAGTTTTTGTACCAAGTTTTAATCACATCTATCTTAATTTTGTTTAACCGCTTGTTTGAATGTCATAAAAAATGAAATAATTTATTCTTATAAACCTTAATGCAAAAAAATTTATTCAAATTTGTTTAAATTTTTAATTGGTTCTTTATTAGTCTAAAAAACTCTAGCTATCTGAGAGGAGAGGTAAGTCAAACTAATAAATTGAAAAATGAAACAAATTGAAAAATAAAAGCAGTATAAAAATTTAAGAAATAAAAACACATTCTGCATTAAAAAAAAAAGATTCAAGTTTAAGTTTGAATTTTTGTGGTAATTTAAAAACATCTCATTTGCAATAGTTTTTTTTTTTTTAAGTAAAGACAGAAATGTTGGGCAAAAGTTAAAGTAATTAAAATTAAAGTAATTTGTTGTCAAAAAACATCAATTTTTATCATTTGTACTCTCAAAGTCAACAATTTATAGAACCATAAATTGGCGCATACTGATGATATCATACTGAGATAGGTAGCTGCAAGGTGTTCAGTAGATACATTTACTTACTATCTAGGTTAGAATATGCAATATGCAATAAAAAGAAGAAAAACAGCCTATCGAAGATAAAATTAGATATGCAGTGCATGTGATGAATAAAATCGTCTAGCGTTATATTTCGCGCTCGTAACACTGAAACACGTTATCAACAAGCGCAATTATGTGCACTCTGCATCAAGTCTTTGAGAGAGATATTCAGAGTTAGAAATTGGTAGCTATGAGGCCTTCTATAAATTACGTACACAAATATGGGGAGGGCAGCCTTCTCCGTTTAGTCAGCACTTTCCCATTCAAGTCTTTTTGGGCTTGCCCATACGCCTGCAAAAACTTTGGTGGGCACATAAAAAAGCACTTGCTAAAAAGATAAAACCGTTTTGTTTTAAATTGCAACAAACATTTTTGTTTATTTGCTCAACTTTTATGAAAAATGGATTTTTTTGATCATTTTTTTTTAAAAATTTTGTCTAGTATTTATTCAAGATATTTTTTTTCTGCTATTTTTATTTCAATTTAAATAACAGAAAAAAATAGATTTTTTAAATCGTGCAGGTTAACTTAAAAATAACCATCCTGTCAGCGCTTTTTTGTGCACTTATCAAACAGAGAAGACTAGGAGGGGTTCACTCAAAAGCGTATCAGTGTGTACAAGAGAAAGGGTGGATAATTTTTTGTTTGAATTTTTTTTTTTCAATGTGAAGTCCGAGAAATCAGGCTAAAAAGCTTTTTTTTTTTAGTTTTTATTTTATTTTTTTATTTGTCTATCTACGTGAAAAAATATGTTACTGCAGTAAATTTTGTCATTTACTAAAAGTTGACAACATAACTTTGTTTCCTATTCAATAGTCTATTGGAGTTGAATTAACATGCTTGATTACGGACATTCTAAACAACAGAAACATTTTCAATTTAATTTAAAATAAATAATATTAAAGATTTAGAATATTTTCAAAAGATGTGTGAAAAATTAAAAACAATATAGGAAAAGAATCTTACGTTTTTTCAAAATTTTGTGGATTAAAACTTGATTTTTCAAAATTCAATCAAGTTTTATTTTTTTAATTTAAAATTTTTATTCTTATTGGAACGAAACATTTTGAAAATAGTAAATATTTCAGTCTTTCTGTTAGCAGTAATGACTTAGTAACTTTCTATTCATTGTTTGTACAAAACAAAAAACTGCATTCTAATTTAAACTGAAGGCGCAATTTAATTATTATCAAGTGAATAATTTTTTATATACTTGATTATATACTTAATAAATATATAAACGACTTATACTAATACAATATATATTAGTGTAAGCAACTTATACAAATATAATATATAAATAACGTATATAGCGACGTAACTTTTAAAAATGTGTTTGTGAAAATAGTGATTTTATATTTTTTCTTTTGTTGTTTGTGAACACGCTTCCAAAAGTTTCAATTTAAAGTTATATAATATATTTATTATATGTATTGTTTATTGAAACTTTTTTTTTTTTTAATTTTTAGTTTCATTTAGATTTAATTTTTTTAATAAATAAAATTTAATATAAACTTAACCGATTCAAAGATTTCAGTGAAAATATTTAGCTTATTAACTTATGTTTGACAAAAAATATTTGATATTCCAACACTTTGATGTTTTTGAATTTTTAAATATAATAATCATTAATTAATAGAATGTTATCAAACCTGTACAAATTTGAAGTTATAAGCGAAGTTTTAGTTTGATAAATTTTTTAAACTAAATATTTATTTATAAGATATTTATAAATGTTATGCTAGATATTTATAAATGTTGCGCTCGATATTTATTTTTTTAACATATAAGTTTGGAATTTTAATTGAAGTGTTGCAAGTTTTGAAATTTTATTACATGGACTCTTATGTAGTTCCAGTTAAACAAATTTTTTTCCCTTTAACCAGGGTACAGTAAACACAGAACAACTGGAATTAAAAAAAAAGACATACTGAATTTAACTTTCAAATAGAAGAAATAGATCATTTTTAATTTGAACTTATGCTGCATAAATTAAGTATGTCACGCATAAATTATGCATGATGTACTTTATTACGAATATAACTTTTTTGTTTAACATTTGTTTAATATGTTTAACTTTGTTTAATATGAAAACTCTCCTGTTTAAACATATTTTCACTTTTTATAGAAATATTTTCTATATTTACAATTTGTACTCTCAAAGTCAACAATATATAAAACCATAAATTGGCGCATACTGATGATATCATACTGAGATAGGTAGCTGCAAGGGCTTCAGCCATTTACAGGCGTGTTTCACATTCTCGGAGCAAACGCTCCCGCTTCATCACAAAGTCTGATATGTGTTTTTTCTAATTTATATGTTATAATAATTTATTTATTATTAAATTTATTATTAACTTAGTATTATAATAATTTAAGGGGTAAACAAATTATATCTGTTGACCAGCACCCCTTCTTCATTTATTAGACTGGCGCAGGTGCATTTATAATACATTGTTTTTAGTTTTTGGTCTTGTATGTGTCTTTGTTTTTATAACTAGGCAACTCATTCTATTATATCTATTATTGGTTCTGAGGCCTTGATGGTAGTCAGGTTTTCCAAACTCTGTGGTAGCTCTTAGAGAACCTGATTCCATCAACAGCTGTAAAATATCAGTGTTAACAGTGCCATGTTGCGCATAGATGGTGTCCCTGTTTGTACTTTTAGTGTGCAATGCCGAGGTCACATTTGAAGCTATTTTTGTACGGCTTAGGTTTTATTAATAGTAATCAAGTAATTGCTTGGACTATTAGATAGAGTACTGAGTACTATCTGTGCTTTGAGTCAAGTTCTTTAACCAATTTAAAAACTGACTAAAGTATCAAAAACATCATAAAGTATCAATAAACATCACCAAGTTCTCTAATTCTATCATTCACTAATATTTGTGGTCTTCGAAGTAACTTTTCATCTATTGATCTTATCTCTTGTAAAAGGTTTACTTGTTTTTGTGAGACTAGTTTGAGTTCAGCTTTCTTATCTTGTGAACTAAGCGTTGATGGTTATCTTTCTTTAATTTCTAAAGACTCTATTATTGGCCTCGGCAACCACCACTTTACTAAGGTTTCTCTTTGTTCTATATCAAAATTTTAAACATGGCTGAGTTTGTGCCTACAAAACTATTTTTGCGGGGCATTCTTTTACATTACTTCCACCGAAAAACAACAGCAGCTGAGGCGCTTAATATTAGTGAAAACATATAGCAACAATGCTCTTTCAGAACAAACATGCAAAAGATGGTTTCAACAAATAAAGGGTGGTGATTTTGACCTTAAAGATGAAGAGCATACTGGTGCTGAGAAAAAGTTTTAAGATAATGCTCCATGCCAGACATTATTTGATACTATTTGATAAAGCTCCATGCCAGACACAGGAAGAGCTTGTGGAAACATTAGAAGTGGATCAATCAACAGTTTCTAGGCGATTTAAACAACTGGGAATGATTTGAAAGCAAGGAAATCGGGTGTTGTATGAGTTAAAACCGAGGACATTGAAAGACAATTTTTTACCTGTGCACAGCTGCTCGCGCGGCAAAAAAGAAAAAGTTTTCTGCATTGAATTGTTACTGGTGATAAAAATTGGAATTGTTTTGAAAACCCTAAACGCAGAAAAGCATGAGTCAAACCTAGTCAGCCACCAACATTGCATGTTTTATAATGACCAAGTTGCAAATGCTTAGTGTATGGCAAGTACTAAATATTTTATTCTAGTGATTTATCATAAAAGTTTATGAGGAGTCATGGAAAAATCATGTAATTTCATTTTCAAATTTGAGTGACCACCCTGCAATTTTGCTTTACACACTCACTTGCTGGTTGTAGATGTAGTGTGCTTATTAAAATAAAAATGAAGATGTTAGACTAAGCAAAGATCTACAAATATTTATAATAAAAACACAAACTTTTTAGAAATCCAAGTTGATGAAGCTCTAAAGATGAGAATTCTTTTTTGATAAGATCAAGATTACTACATGGTTGTAAAATCTCTCAGACACCGCCTCCTCTAATGTCTATTATTAGTTAACAACTTTTTAAATTCAAAAAACAAAATAATTTTTAACTACAATAAAAAATTAAAATTTTAAATTAAAAAAAAAGACTAAATTATTTTTATATATCTTTTTATTTTGTTTATACTTATTTATTTTGTTATGTGGTATTAAAAATAGTTTTCTTCTTTTAATATTTTTTCTTTGTTTAATACTTTGGTCAGCACTGTTTTATTGTGATTTGTCTCACATTAATTTCTCAACCATGATACCAACCTTAATACCTAAAGAAAGAAATATTTTTCCTTTTGTCATATATATTTTTTTAAAGATTACTTTTTTAAGGCACTATGCTTTGCAAGCAGACACGGTCATAGTCATGTAGCAAAGGTTCTTCTCCAGCATAATGCGAATCATCTTCTTACGGCATTTGATGGTCAGACTCCTGCAGATATTGCATTTACATACAATTACAAAATAGTAAGTTTTAATTTTTAGTTGTTGTATTTAAATTTAGATACATTTCATAAAAGTTATAATATAAATTGTGTGTGTTTGTGTGTGTGTGTGTGTATATATATATATATATACACACACACACACACACATATATATATATATATATATATATATATATATATATATATATATATGTGTGTGTGTGTGTAATCGTTACCTGCAGTGCCAACAATTATAGTCTTAATTTTTTCCCCAAAAGTAGTACAACTTACTTCTTTACATCTTTGGAGCCTCTGGATGCCAAAAATCAAGCTAGAAATAACCTTTTTGTGACTTTCACTCTGAATGGCAGTGAAGATGACAGTAACAATGGCCTTAAAACTTTAAGTTAGCTACAATCTTATGAATCTGATAAAAAAAACAAATTATATCAGGTTTAAAAGCAAGAATTTTAAGAAAACCTAATTTGATTCACTTTATATTTGAATAAATAAAAAAACAATCAGAAATGGTACAAAAAAAAAAATCAGAGATGGTACAAAAAAACAATCAGAGATGGTACAATAAATGTCAAGTTGATTTTATTGAACCCTATAGAAAAAACAAAATCTTAACAAACACTTAAAAAAGAATTTTGCTTTTAACAAAAAATATCTTTTAAAACAAAACAAAGTTTTTGTTGAATTTTTTTTTAAATAGAATAACAACAACAAAATACTTAGTTTGGAGACTGAATTGAAACTCAGTATTTAGTTTCTAGACTCTTTTTAGTTATACAAAGGTTGTTACCAAATGTTGATTAGTTTTTGTTTTTGAAGCATTTGTTTAGGAACTTAAATATGATTTTTCAACAGGTGTTTGGTTGTATAAACTATATGTAAAAGTGTTTTCATATTAAAATATTAATGTTGTGTAATTGTTGAACAACATTTATGCAACTATACTATGCTACAAGTTTTGTGATCTAGTTTGTATTTTTGAACTTTTTTAATTTATTAGCAATTTTCTTGTTGATTAATATAATTTGGTAATGACACTGATTGAAATTAGGTTTTGTTTAGATGTCTGAGTTGCTCGAAAAATACAATGGTTGTAATATCGATCAGTTTAAAGATGTTCCATCAAACGGGTTTAAAATTAATTAATTTTTAACATAATTACAACTATTTAGAAAACAATGATCAATCATTATATTTTTTAGATTCAGAATCTAAATTTAGGTTAAAAACCAAAGTTTAAAACCTAAAGTAAATACCATCAAGTTATAATAAATAACAGCAACATAGGATATTTAATAAGATAATAATATATCAATATTATTATTAATAACAACTTTTTTTATTTAATTTTCAAATAATAACTTAATATATATGTTCAAACTAGAAGTTTGCGAACAGTTATATGCTGATGAAACAAATCAACCTACCATAAAAACAGTTATTGTAAAATAAATTAATAATGATTTAATATATATAATAATTGTAATATCTATTATATTAGCTTATTATAATAGAAATAATTTGAATATGTTTATAATATGTCATTAGAAAAAACCAATAAAATGAGAAGTAAATAGAAAAGTTTTTATATTTCAAAATACTTAACAGAAAAAAATGTGTACATATATTTAAAATAAATTTTCAGTCACAAGAATATAGGAAATATGACTTACTGTATACAAAAAGTATATGAAATGTTTTACAACACTCACAAATAAAAACATAGCATTCACACACATGGAAATATAAAAAAGATGTTCATAATGAAATAAATAGATAAAAAAAAAAAATTTCTCTATATTATTTTATTTTATTGTTTTGTAAAAATAGAAACAACTTTTTATCTTTACATTTTAGGAGCAATTGCAACACTGCACAGTCCAAGTAAACATCTTTATCTAAGCTTTAAAGTGAAGGAAGATTTTTTATGCTATTTTAAAAATTTAAATTCATTATTCATTACAGTATTGAATGAAATTTCAAATTTAAATATAATAAATCAAATTTTATTTGATTTATTATATTTATTTTTATTATATTTAAATGTATTTGATTGTTGTATTTATTCTTTAAACTATTATTTATCTTTTTTCATATTTTTAGATATGTTAAATATGGAGATTTGGAACTATTTCTTCATGGTTTAGAAATGGGCCATCTTGTTATTTTATTTCAGGCATAATTTTAAATTAAGTATAATTATATAGTTTTGTAAGTTATAAATATTTCTTTTTATTTTATATTTTAATACAGGAGCATAACCTCAACTTCACAGATATGTTGAAAATGACTGAAGAAGAAATGATTGAAGTAATTTACATGCTTTTGTTTTTATTTTTAGTTCTAAGATTAAAAAAATAATGAAAATAAAAAAATAGGAATCAATTTTATTATAAATTAAAACTAGTGTTTTCAAATTTTTGAATTTATTAAAGAATCTAAGAATATTTGATGTGATATATTACTATTAAAAAAAAAAAAAATATGTTCTAAATAAGTGTTGTTTGAATTGTTAACAAAAATGTGTTTAGATGAAATTGAATATTTAATATTCGATGGTTTGCTAATTTTATGAAAATAACCAACCTTTCAATTTTTTACAACTTGAAATTACAATAAATTAAAAAGATCAGCTTTTTAAGCATATAATAGTACTCAGCAATATTATCATTACCAGGATAAATACTTCTTCATCAGTAAAGCAGTTTGTAAAAGTAATATTATATTTGTGGAGTTATCTATAGAGAAAGTTGCCTGTAGTACTAACTTTATTTTTATCTATTTTGTCACAATTTATTTTTTATAATAATAAAAAGATGTGTTTAGTGAATAAAACAATCCTTTTACTTACTAAACCAAATGTTTGTGTGTTTTTTTTTTTTATGTTTTTGTTTCTTAAAAATGATTTTGTTTTGGATTTTTACAAATTTAAAAAAAGAATAAAATGTGCTTTTTTGTCATTATTTATTACTATGAATTCAACATTTAATACATGCTGCCAATAATTTCAACTTTAAAGGCCTAAAGCCAGCTGTATAATGTAGACCTACTTGTTAGCTATGCTAACAATGAATGTCAGCTATGCTGACAATGAATGTCAGCTATGCTAACAATGAATGTCAGCTATGCTAACAATGAATGAAAATAAAATTAAATAAGATTTTTCAAGAAGAACTGGTTCAAAAAATGGAATGAAATAGCTTGTAATAGCAGAGTTGCTGCATGTCATCAACATGAGCTAATGGTTCTAATTTTGCTAATGTGAAAAACAATAAAAAATAGGATGAAAAAGAAACTAAAGATGAAAACTAAAGATGAAAAGACTAAACAGATGAAAAAGGTCTTGATCTGAATAAAATAGTCATTCCATGGATTAATGTTATCCACGCCATGGATTAATGTTATCCACCCCATGGATTAATGTTATCCACGCCTTTTTTTATTTTATGAAGAAACACTCTACATTTATTCTGTAGGGATAACTGTGGATAAATGAAGATTTTTGTAAAAATTTTCAATTTTAATAACGTTTTAAGTTTCATTTCTATTTTTTTTATTATTATTTTATTTATTTAACACCCAATTTACATGGTAAAAAGAAAAAAATAAGAAAGTTATTTCGGATGACTTTGCTTAAAAACGTTTTCTTCCAGAATTTGCTTGAAAACTCCTCTTTGCTCTTTTGCATTCCAGCACTCTATTGCATACTTCAAGTTTCGTTTAACTTCGGAAGGAATTTTACTTTTAGAAAGTAGTATTTTTACCTTCTTTTTATTTTGAATTAGGTTTTGAAAATTTAATATCTGAAGATGGCATAGTTCCTGAATATCACTAACAAACAAATGTTGAAATAACGGGTGTTGCAGTTGTGAAAAGATAATGTCTGCAGTTGTTTTGTTATTAAGAAGTCGAAGGAACAAGTTTAACTTATTTTGTTGAACACTTTTTGAAATTTCCTGGATTTTAAATAACGAATTCATATAGTTTTTACTATGTTTTGAAACATTTAAAAACGATTTTAGCGCACTCCTTCCAATTATATCTAGCTTTTTCATCAGACCAGGATTATTTTCACATAGCTCCATACCATAAGTTAAGGTGGGGACTGCCAATGATTTATATATATAGGAAATAGAACTGGGGTGGGCAAACCGGATTCCAGATTGAATAAGAGTTTGAACAACAGCTCTATAGTTTGATATTTTTTCATCAACATTTGAATAACCGAGTGAAGCAAAAACTGAATGTTTAGTATCCCATGTGAATCCCAGATGTCTAAGTTTATTCTGAAGATTTTTTTAAATTCAAATAAATCTGAAGATTTTTATTAATTCAAATAAAAATAGAAAAATAAAAGCTTTAATTATATCAGATTCAACTTTTATAAATAGTTTTCAATAGCTGTAAATAGTAGGTTGTAAATGTTTGAAGCTGTATTTAATTTTTAAAAACATAGTAGGTTTAGCGCATTTATTCTATAGAATAAGTATGAGGTCATAATTTTTTAAAATAATTCTTCTATAAGAATATTTCAGTCATAATAAAAAATAAAAATCATGTTTTTATGTAATTGTGCAACAGGATAAATAGTTTAAGAAACTAGAAACAAATTTTTAGACTGTTAAAACAACTGGTAACTTGGGTTTCTGAATACTGTTAAAACAGCTGTGTGTTTTGTTTCTTTTTAATTTAAAATCAACAAACAGCTGTTATATATAAATGACTGTTTTTACCGGTTTTTATTTTTTTATTTTTTTAAATTAAAATTTTTGCAATTTCATTCAAACTAAGATATTTTTAAAGTAGCATTTCAGATAAAAAAAAAATTTAATGGCCATTTGATTCAATTTTCATTTTTATTAACAACTTAATAAATAATTTTAAGATAATAAGTAATGAATAAATAACTTTATTTATTTTTTTGAATTTAACACGTTTCCAGCATCTGTTGTAAATTAAAGCTTTAAAAATAAAAAAGCATTTATTATGCACACGATAGTTTATTCTTTAGTAAATTGGCCATCTTTAAATTTGGATGTTTATGTTATGAATAACCTAGGTTTTAAACCTTTTTTTTTTTCCAACGTTCCCTTAGGATACTTGTCATTTGCCATTTTTATGATATGCTTCAAAAGAGGACAGTAATTAAAATGCAGATATTAATTTTTCATTGACATTACTGCTGATAATGTTTATCTCACATTTCAATTTTAGAAAATATTAAAATAACAAGTGAAATTTATTTAGAAAAAATGTATAACCTAATTCATATTACTTTTAGTATCAGACTCAGACTCATATAGTTCATCTGACTTCTTGTTATCCTCCACCTTTTGATGTTTATCACCATGGTATAACCAATACATTTGCAAATGTTTTTCCAAATTTCACCAGCTTGGTTAGAAGAACATCTTTTTGTGGAAAATGACTATGGCAAAAACAATAAACAAAATTAAACACATAATCTGGTGAAGCAAGTAGTTCTATCTAAGATATGGCATTGGAACCTTGATCATTAAGCCAAACATTTCCGAAAGGATTTGATGGGTTAATATCATCATTTTTTGATAAAAGCTTCAAAATTAGCTCTTTTTATGTGTTGCACTAGCAAATCTTTATTCGGTGGTAGCATTTCCTATCTAAATTTAGCAGGTTAAAATAATCTGTAACTAGCTAATTCTTCTTGCTCCACATGGTATGAATCACAGAAACATTTTTTCAGCATGTTTATTAGTTCACCAGATGGTGAGGGTAACTTTTTATTATATTTTGTTATCATAGATGAGTTTTTTCCAGAAATTCCCGGAATTCCAGATATTCACTGTTAAAAAATTACAAATTTTTACATGAAATTTTAAATATGACAACTTTTGCATTTAAAAAAATATGTTTTCTATAGTTAAAATTTTCACAAGATCAATTTTCATAACAATTTTTTTTCTTTTTTTTTTTTTTTTTTTGCTTTTTAATTTATTCAAATTAACTTTTTCGAGTATTAAAAATTCCTTTTTGTAAAAAGTTAAATAATCTAAATTCCGTTTTAAAAGTTTACGAAAGTTTTTGTTTTCAGTTAATACAATCAATTTTTGATAACATAAATTTCCAGGATTTTTATTTAAAAAAATTTCCAGGATTTTCATAAAGTCAAATACTCATCTATGTGTAATACTTTAACTGTCATATTTAAAGGGAATTCAAAGCTCTGAGACATGTTGTGTTCGTATTAAAGAGAATGATAAAAAATTTTGGCCTACAACAAAACAGAGAAGGTGAGCTTGGACTAAAATAAAAAAATTAGTTTTTCTTGATATGCATTTATTCTTTTGTTTTAGTCAAAAATATTTAGCCCAAACATTTTTTTTTTATCATTCTTTTTAATATGAACACAACATGTCTTGGAGGTTTGGGATCCATTTAAAGTTAAAAAAAAAGTTTTAAAATACAAGATTATTTTTATTTGTTAAGTTTTCTAAAATAAAGCATACCCTGATATTGAGACTATAAAATTTCAATTCATTTAAAGAAAACTGCGCCTACGAGAAAAAATTGAATATTATGAGTATTTTCTCTTTTTTTTTTTTTTTTTTTTATATAAAATGGTTTTTAAATGGATGAGCTTAAAAACTTTCCTAGAACTCCTAAAACAAAAATGAAAATATTTAAACGACAGATTTTTTTATTGTGTGGTATTTACTTTTAAAATTTTGCAAAAAAAAAAAGTTTCGCGTAAAATTTTTACAGATCCATCAAAAGCTTACCATAAATTCCTGGTGATTTTAGATCCATAAAAAAAGAACTCTCCTCAATCCAAACTTTGAGATGCAATTTTTAAAGTGAGGTCACTCCTACCAACAATACTCAAAAAATCCATTAAACAGTGCCATAAAAGTAAAGAAGCAAGTGCTAACAGAATCTGGTGATGCTCTTATTAAAAATTGCCTTAACAAAAAGAAAAGAAGAAATATCGGGTTTAAAAAATAAAATAATTGCTGTGAAAGTTTTTGTATTTAATCAGAGATTTGATGTTGCTAATTAGGAAATAGTTATGTGTTTTGAAGAAAAAATTTCCTCTCTACAGTCATATTGTTACATACAGTTTTATCTCTTCCTCTCTACAGTTATATTGTTGCATCTTTAATTCTTTCTATAATTTAATTCTTTCTATAATAGTTTCTATAATTCTATAATTCTATAATCCATTATTCTTATGTTGATACAAAAAATAAATTCTTGTCCATATTTTTGATCATAGACAAGCAACAGAATAAATAGTAGTCTAGTTAAATTAGGACCTGGACAAAATTTGGATA